TACGGACCCGGACGGGACTATCCTGATCAGGCATTGACTCCACTGGGGCCAAGAGGTGAGCCGTGGTGTATCTCCTGCGTCTACGATTTTTTGCAGCAATTGCGTTAGCATCCTCGTTACTTTCCTCATCGATTTTAGCTGCTGCTTCCGCTAGGTTTGCGTTCCGAAGTATTTGGATCGCCTGGTAGTTCGGTATGTTAACCCTCGAAGGGGGAGGTTCAAACCGTACGGCTCCTGATCTGTAGTTAGAGGCTCGGTACAATATACGTAGCCCTGCTTCGCCACAGAATTCCTTCTCCCTTCCATGGGTATGAGGGAGGAGGGGAAGTATTCCCCTCGAGTTTCGGAACGATCGTCCGTAACGTGCCTCTGCCTCTAACAGTTCCAACATTCTCTCTGGGTCCAACAGGACGTTGTACAGCCAGAGAAAATCTGATCGATTCGCGGGGGTCATCAGCCACTGCTGGGCCTTCTCTGGGAGGTCTATCTCCAGTTGAGTTCCCACTGTTAGGAACTGTACTCGTAGGTCTGAGAATTCGAGACCGTCTCCCAATTTTTCGATCCCCATTGACTCCAATACCTCCCTTAGGACCATAGCTACATCCTCCGGGATACACTCCTGAATTCGAATGACATCTTCCAGACGCAATGTCATTTCGGACAAGGGTTGTACGGGGAAGTTGGTCCTGCTATGGTGTATTGCGTGTGTACGCTCCCAGTTGGGCGTATTCATAGCTGGGCTCTTCAGGAGACTGGAGAGTGAACTCCCTCGTCTCGGGGGAGGAAGGTTAAGGGACTGTACTGGAGGTGTTGGTAACCTCCGGGATGACGCCCGAGATTGTTCGGATACGGCAGGGGATACCCTCCTCTCTGGAAGTTTCTCCTGTTGTCGTACTGTGAGAGGGTCAGTACTTCCCCCTTGTATCCTTTCAATAGCGGCTACTTGACCGCTGACTCTTCCACCCGCGTTCGAAGCTGACTCCATGTCTAGCTGCGGTATCGGTCCAGGGGGAGGTCCTCTCATTCCCCAGGTAGGGGAGTATGCGAAACCTCCCATGGGACTACTGGCAGGTTGGGCGTAACCCATGGAGGTAAACCTCCGTTGTGGTGGTCCCATCCCAGGTTCCACTGGAGGGGGCCCCTGAACCTCCGGTTGACGTCCCTCTGGGGTCTGGATGTTGCTGGCGGTTTCATCCCCGAACGACTGTTCTGGGATGGACATCAGGCGTTGACCAGCTGCCACCGTGATGACAGTGGAGCTAGCAGCCTGGTTCGATTTTTGAGCTTGTGTCGTGTTTCCACGAGATAAGGCGCTCTTTTGTTTCTTTGATTCGGTCTTGGAACTAGAAGGTCGTTCCGTTGACGTCGCCGACATTTCGTCGCGACGAGTCCGTTCGGTGACGGGAGAGCTTGGTATAATGTAAGACCTGGGTCAAAATAGGTCTTGGGATAGGTTTTGGTATAGGGATGTTTATGTTGTAGCGTGCTAGGAGCAGGCTGGAGCTCGAAGGGAGCTACGGGAACCGCGACCGAGGACGGGAATGACCAAGTAGTGGTTGGGATGACAAGATGATGACCCTTGAGGGGGTTCCTAAGAGGTCTCGAGAGGTCCCTAAGGCGTAGGGAGGTTAAGGAAGAGTGCGGAACCGTACGATATTGCGTAGTAGGAGTTGTACTCGCTAGAACGTCAAAGTAGAGTCGAATAGGTTGTATATGGGAAGGGGTCTCGAGGGTGTAAGCTCTAGAGAAGGGAGGTACCCGTGAGGGTAGGTCCCTGGGGGCTGGGCGCGAGGAGGGGCGTTCTCGAGTGTGGGAGGTGGTAACAGAGAAGCAGTACGTAGTTCGACGTGAGAGGTAGCTTCGACGTTATCTAGATCGAGGTCCCGAAGCTTACGAAGTAGCTAGGGAGCTCTGGGAGGTTTGGAGAAGGATAGCTCACCAAAGCGTGTAGGCGTTGGGAAGCTTTAGTAATATTCGAGGGAGTTCGGGGACTCACTGGGAAGGCTTAGACTTGAGGTAAAAGCGTATATTCAATCGTATAGACGATCAGAGAGACGATAGATGAGAGTGAAGAGAAATAGAGGTAATGAAACAGAGAGTAAAGAGAATTCCGTATAGGTAGCAGGTACAAAGGGACAGGGACTGGACCTATGTAAAGGGTGTGTGTTCAAAATATACCAAGCTGGGCTTCTGGACGCTACTGGACTGCTTAAATACGTATAGGGAAGTTAACAAAGAGACATAGTACGAAACGGGCACTTAATGGGGTTTCTAAGTACATCAGGACGGAATGATGGGCGCATGTGCAGGGTTCCAGGACCCTGTCGTGGAGTGGTTCGGTTGCATTGAGGGGAACTAAGATTAGTGGAGGTTGTCCTAGCCGTGAGGAGGTTTGCGGCGTTGGGAGTGTTCTCAGGGGTTCAGGGAAGTGGTTGAGGAGGTAAGGGGGGTTGAGGAGGTTGGGAACTACGTCAAGGAGCTTATGGGCTATGGAATTTGGGGCAAGGCATGACAAGATCGTCCAGGTGACGAGCAGTCATATTGGCGAAGGTTGATGGAGCTCCAGTGAGGCCGAAGGGCAACTTCGCACACCAAAAGTAGCCCTTCCCTTCCACATAGAATGCCGTGTATGGGCGGGACTTGCGTTCGACCTTGCAAGCATAAAAGCCAGATGCAAAATCAAACAGGCAGATGTAGGTATGGCCACTAAGTGATTGCTGCTTGGACCGGATATTACCTTGTGGCATCAGTGCAATCTCAGTGAGTTTGTTGACTGCCATAAAATTCTGACACATTCTCCATTTGGCAGGCTTGGTCACATCAGCATGTTCCGTCGGATCCAGAGGCTGTGGGCGAGTGGGAAGATCAAAGGATGCGGGAAGTCCCGCGGCCACGCATTCATCGTTGAGCTTGTACATCAGCTCCTCCACTGTCAGCCCCTTCCCTTCGTGGACCTTCTGCGCCAGCGTTAGTGGCGACACACATTTGACGTCCTCTGGATTGCAACGCTCAATTACCCCAGCTTTGAGTAGCTCATCAATCTTCGTGTGTAGGTACTCACGCTGTGGTGGTGTCAGAGACCTCTGCCTGACCTTCTTGGGAAAGGTTGCACCCTCTGGTATGTTTAATCTGTGAACTGCATCCTTGACCAGTCTTACCTCACCCACTGACAGGGCGAAGCAATCAGCGTATTCACTCAGAAGCCGCTCGACTCATACTCGCTGGTTGTCCGACAGCCCAGGCCCAATCTTAACCTTACGCAGGATTTCCTTTACATGTTCTGGTCGAAAAGTGCCTCCCTTCCCGTCATTTCGTGTGAACAGGTTGATATCATTGCTCTGGTCCAGCGCGTCGGGAAAGAAGTCCGGACCCAGGGGGTCTAGGTCTGCGAAAGGCCCTGCCTGGAGTACCTGTATAGGAGCTATGTCGCCATGGTCAGTACTGTGCAGGCCGACAAGCAGAGTGTTGGTGGAGACTCCCTTTGAGGGGGGTACTTCACATCCCCCCACTGAGTCCACACGCAGGCACTCTGGCTTGACATTGACGTTTTCCTCCCCCGGATTACCCTCAACTCCATCCGATAGCACACCAGCCTCCCCTGACGCCGCTTCCGCAGGTTGATGTATTCCAGGGTAGTTTCGTGAATCTGTGGTGATGGGGTTAATATCACAATTGTCCCCAGATGCATTGTCTGCAGGTACTTCCCTCGAGGGGGGTGTACTACTCCCCCCCGGTGATTCCACGCTCAACTTTTCGGTGGGTGTAGGTCCTTCAAGCGGTTTCTCCAAAAGAACCACTTGCAAAGACCCGGTTCCGCACATTGGTGCCTCAGCCAGTCCTTCCACTCCGCATCCCTCTGCATCTCCTTTTCTTCCCAAGCTGCCCTGCGTGTTTCTCGTTGACGCCCCAGTTCTTCCTGTATCTTGATAGCCTCCTCTCTCCGTAACCATCGTTCCTCCCTGAACCAATCCTCCCATTCGCACTCCATCCTTTGCCATTCCTCGCTGTCAATGGGAAAGACCGAATCCAGGGTGCTGCTCTGCTCTGCGGATGGCACCCTTGGTTGCTCCGTGTTCTTGTCTGGTATGTCTTCAACTTGAGGCTTTCGGTGTTGCCGCTTGGGTTCCGATTGAGGTATGGGCTGGGGAGGGCTATTAGTAACCTGCTCTTGCTGAACATGATTTAGGTCTTCCACTTTCCTGCTCAGCAGGGTTAAGGCCTTCACTGTAACCCCGCTCAATGGTCCCTCGCTTTCTTCAAGAACGGCATACCCGTTGGTTGGCGAACTTGGTATTTCCTGCTGGCTACTCCCCTCCAGCCTGTCCGCAGGGCCTGCGGGTAATGCAACCCCCAGTCCTTTGTTGAGCACTTCCCGCCACTTCCCCCGCTTTCCTTGCAGCCTAATGGCATCCTTTCCATAGTCATGGACTGCCGAGAACTGCTCGAGGAGCAGTTTACTGGACAGAAACTTCCAACTTCCTCTGCTGTCAAACACCTCGAAATCCCCATCGACCTCCGCTCCCTCTACATTGACGCGACCCTTCCAATGTACTGCCCCCGGCACCACACTCCCGTTCGCCATGCGGAACTTTCGCTTCGTCGGTTCCCACCCCCCTATAGTGGTTTGGAGTCTCTCATATACGGCTATGTCCATCGCTGCTACCATCGCACCGTCATTCACCATTGCCTCTACCTCTGCCTGCTTTCCCTCAAAGTCCTTCAGACTAATGTCCATTGAAAATGGAGAGCTAATGTGGCTGTCGCTGTTGTGAACACTGTAGACATCAAGAATATCGGATTCTCCCAAAACTGACTGTACATTGTTCACAACTGACGTAGTACTCTGGGTCAACTGTTCGCCACTTAGAACACTGACCCCTCCCCATTTCCCGACTCTACCATGCCCTCAAAAATGGCTTCCGGCCCCAAGACGTGCACTGTGTTCACCTTTGCTGCTCTTCCTCCCAATTCTCTCTGACAATACGCTCTCCAATCAGACTCTACTGGCGGTATGGCACCTGGCCTGGGGCACTGAACCTCAAACCCATGTCGGTTACCTCCGCATCGAAAACACTCTCCGGAGCAGACCGCTTCAGGGGCACAATGGTGACCTCCGACAACACACCATCCACGCCATGCCTGGAGGCCCACTCCAGCAGTTCCGCTTTCCAAGCTGCCACCCTGTCTGGTGTATTCGGGTGTTGTATCTTCGCTGCGACGCCACGTCGCAGGACTGCCTTCCTCCCTTCATCCAGGGTAGTGAAGACCTGGCGGGGTTTGCGGCTTCCGGCATTACTGGTATAGGTAGGCCTTGCTCAAACTGGGGATGGCAACGGGGAGGTACTGATGCGTGCGGTTGCAAAGTTGTTGGCCAGCTTAGTTCTCGGGGTCTCTGGAACCACCAATGGAGTGGTTTTGCCCACTTCGTGCTCTGCTTCAACCTTGAGGACACTCCACTTTACTGCCTTGATGGCTGAGGTAAACTCCCAGTTGTCATGCTCCTCATCGATAGCCTTCTTCAGCGCGTAAGGGAGGTGCTTCCAGACAGTGCCTATAGACTGCTTTGTTTTCTCTACCTCTGCACCCTTCGCGAGGCGAAGCAGCCGGTCAGCCCACCACTGGTGGTACAGTTGGTTCGTATCCTTGCTTGTCTTCATAATCATCTCATGCATGATACGTTCCCCCTCCAAGCTCGCAAGGTAAGACTTTGCTGACTTTTTCTCCTTTTTCTGGGATGGAAATCAGGCATGGAACTTGGCCTCGAAAGCTTCCCAAGCTCTGGTACGGTCGGTAGCAGTAAGGTCCTCTGTGTACCATTCCCAGGCTCTAGAACTGCGTTCGAGGTAAGGTTTGATGCCACTCACGAAGTCAGCTCGTAGAGTCATCAACTCGGTCATATGGACCTCAAAGTCCTGTAGAAAAGTGGCAGGTTGTATCGGGTCATCTGGGTCCCTGTCAAGTCCATGCCGCGGGCCTCCATTCCGCCGCTCGGTACTCCGAAGATCTGCTCTTATTGTAATCTCTTCCTATTGTTCTTTCTCGCTACACATATCCTTTCGTTCTAGTCTCTTATTATTGTCTTTTACTCTTTCGTCCTAGTCTTTCCTTATTGTCTTTACTCTACCCTGCAGGTACTACTTGTATAGCTCCTAGTAGTTAGTCTGGCGCTTCGCACCGATGCGCCGTTCCGTAGATATAAATACTGCCTGTACGCTACTGTAGTTCCTCAGTTTAATTATCAACTTAGATCAACTTAGATCTCCCTTCTCAACTTAACTCTCCTCTAAGCCTTCAGGCTCAACGCCTCGAAGTACGTTCTCCTCGACCTTAGGACTTTAACGTTCTCTGGTCCGCTCCTCGTCACCGGCGATACCGCCGCTCCGACCTGGCTGCTACTTAGCTCCTCTCCCTCTACTCTCGCTCTCCGGGGACTAACGGCGTAACGGCGGTGTTGTTAATAACTTCACTACTGTCCCACTCGTCTTCCGCACTTAGGCACCTTGTAGCTTTGGCACGGTTATACGGTGTACATGATCTTAACAGTATAATTAAACTCAATCCGTTAACGTCGTACTGACATATCATTTTTTATGCCTCCGAAAACTCGAGCTCAATCTAGAGCTAACTCCGAAGAAAACACTTTCTTCACTACAGCTCAATCATTTGCCCCATTCTCCGACTCTATCTCTGCTATCGGTCAACCACGTCGCCGTAATCGCGGTTTCGGTCCAGCCACAGTTCCTACTACGTCGACTCTTCCTGAAGCCATGGAAGAAGAACAACAATTTGAGTACAGCACCTTGTATACTGGTGACGGACAACCTGTCCAAGTCCTGACTCCTCGCCGTGGACAACCCCCCGTGGTCGCTCCGGCTCGGGGCCGGTCTACTACTCGAATTGATTCCCCAATCCTCCAAGCCATAGCCCGCCGTACGGGTAAACAACCCCAACGTCGCGCTGCTTCTGAATCTCCTCGTGACCCACCTCCTCATTTCGATTTGGATACTGGTGATCACGATGATCAAGACCCTCCTGTCGACCCCGACGATCCGGGTGCCGACAACAACAATGACGATCTGGATGACGACTCCGGCGGTTTACCGCGTGGTGAACCTGGTGACCCCAGTGGACCTGGTGGTCCTGGTGGTCCCGGCGGTCCCGGCGGTCCCAGCGGTCCTGGTGGACCTGGTGGACCTCGTTCCCCAATCTCTCCTGACATCCCCAACGAGCAACGAGCTATGTTGGAACTCCTCTCGGGGTTCAAGGGTTCCATTGAGACCCTTGGTACCGTCCTCGCCGCTCTCGGCCGTCCCTCTGACAGCTCTGAATCCAAGAGCAAGGTCAAGGAGCCAGAGGTCTTCGACGGTTCGGATCCCCGAAAACTCAAGACATTCTTCGTCAATCTCGCCCTGGTCTTCAATGACCGTCCAAAGTACTTCACCGACCAAAGGAAGGTGAACTATACCCTTTCCTATCTCAGTGGGTCAGCCAAAGAATGGTTTGTCCCTGATATCCTAGACCCGGATCTCGACTCGCTGCCGGCCTGGACATCCTCCTTCAAGGCCCTTGTAAAGGAGCTTCAGGACAATTTCGGCGTTTACGACGCCCAAGGCGAGGCCGAAGATTCTCTCGGTAATCTGAAGATGAAGGAAACCGAGAACATCCGGAAATACAACATCCGGTTCAACACCCTGGCTGCTAGTACCAACTGGGATTCTGCTGCCCTGAAATGGGCTTATGGACGAGGCCTAGCTGAACGCATCAAGGACGAAATGGCGCGTTTGCCCGAGCCGGCGACGCTCGCCGATTATCGTCAAGAAGTTCTTCGTATTGACAATCGTTATTGGAAACGCGAGGAAACTAGAAAGCGTGAGGCTGGTAAGCCTTTTGTTGCTCGGAACCCGAAGAAGGGTTCCTCGGACTTCAAGACTGGTTCTACTAACCAGCAAAACAACTCTCAGCCATCTGGCTCTTCGGCGCCGTTCACGCCGAAGCCTAAACCCTTCTCTGGTGGTAAGCCTAACAACAATGGTAAGCCCCAGAACTCTTCGAATTCCGGCCAATCCGGCGGTCAACGCCCCGCGTTCAACCATCTTGGTGCAGATGGGAAAGTCCTTCCCTCCGAGAAGGAAAGAAGGATGAAGAACAACCTTTGTCTCTTCTGCGGTGGTAAGCATCAGATTGCCGACTGCAACAAGCGAAAGGCCCGAGAATCGAAGGGCCGTGCTGCTGAGGTTGAAGAAACCCCCGAAGCAACCGTTGAGGTTGTTGAAGAGGAATCGGAAAACTAGTCCGCAGCTCTTGTTCCCCGGTACGAAACGGGAGCTGCGTTGATCAGGTTCGTACCTCATCTGGGGAGTTATATCTCAACGCGTCCGCTCTTTCTTCTATTGAACGATCTCTTGTAATATCATTGACTACTGAATTTCCTTTATCCGATTCGGCCGCGCCGGCCGAACCCATCTCTGCTCTTCTTAAATTTCCTACTCTTGTTGATTCTGGTTCTACTGACTCTTTCATCGATACTCGTTACGTTTCTCAGAACTCTATTCCTACGACCAAAATTTCTCCTGTTAATCTTCGTCTTTTTGATGGTTCATTGTCTTCTAAACCTATTACCGATATGGCGAATATCGCCGTTCGGTTCCCTGCCGGCGAGCTGCTTCTATTACCCTTTTATGTTACACATTTAGATTCATCCTGTAAAGCAGTATTAGGTTACAGTTTCTTATCCCGCTACAATCCGTTGATTGACTGGGCATCTCGAAACATTACGTTCCGTAACACTTCACATTTTGATTCTCCACAGACGTCTGTGCCTTCTGCTATCAACACCGTTGATGCAAAGGTCGCTGTTCCGCTACCGGATCCTTCGCCGTCGGTTTCACCGACAATTCTGGAGACCCCTCCTGGGGACTCACCTCGCTCTCGCTCTCGCTCCCGCTCTCGGACTTCACGGGCCAAGCCCCTTTCGTCCAAATTCCCTTTTGAACCCATCTACTCTTACCCTACGGTCTCTCAATTCGCTGCTCAGCTGGAAACTCCCGAGGTAGACATTGCACTTGTCAGTGCTGCAGTCTTCAATAGGGCTTGCAAGGACGCCGGTATGGAACCCATTCTACTTCGTGCTATCCACTCAGAGGTCGCGGCCCGTTCCGCCGACCGCTCTTCCACCGCTCCTACTGTCCCTCCACTCCATCCTTCTATTCCAGAAGAGTACGCAGAGTTTGCAGACGTCTTCGACGAGATTGCTGCAGATTCACTTCCTGAACACAGACCTTACGACCTGAAGATTGACTTGGAAGAGGGCGCTTCGCCGCCTCTCGGCCGTATTTACCCTTTGTCTGAAAAGGAGCTAGTCGCCCTTAAAGACTTTATTGACAAACAGCTGGCTACTGGTGCCATTACCCCATCATCCTCTCCTCACGGCGCTCCGGTCCTTTTTGTCCCGAAGAAAGACGGCAAACTTCGCCTTTGCGTCGATTTCCGTGGACTCAATCGTATTACCAAAAAGGATCGTTACCCACTCCCACTCATATCAGATCTTCTCGACGCTCCGAAAAGAGCTAAAATATACACCAAATTGGATCTCGCTCACGCTTATCATCTAGTCAGAATCGCTGAAGGTGACGAATGGAAAACCACCTTTCGGACCCGCTACGGCTCTTACGAATGGAAGGTTATGCCGTTCGGCCTTACGAACGCCCCTGCGGCTTTCCAGCGGTTTGTTAATGACATCTTCTCTGACATGCTCGATGTCTGTGTCATCGTCTATCTTGACGATATTCTGATCTACTCTGATACGCCAGAAGAACACCGAGAACACGTTAAGGAGGTTCTTCGGCGGCTCCGGAGACATCGGCTTTACGCCAACCCCGAGAAGTGCGAATTCAATATGGATACTGTTGAGTATTTAGGTTATATTCTTTCTCCCGACGGATTGACTATGTCCAAGGAGAAAGTACAGACAGTTCTAGAGTGGCCGGTCCCGAGGAAGGTTAAGGACATTCAGTCCTTCCTGGGTTTTGCAAACTTCTATCGTCGTTTTATTTATAATTACAGTGATATCGTTGTGCCGATGACTCGGCTTACCCGAAAAGGCGCTTCCTGGATCTGGGACAGCAGCTGTCAAGAGGCCTTCGAAAACCTCAAAATCGCTTTCACTTCTGCGCCAATACTGGCCCATTGGGAGCCGAATCGCCCACTTATCGTGGAAACTGACGCTTCCGATTACGCCATTGCGGCTATTCTTTCCATCCAATATGCTGACGGTGAAATTCATCCTCTAGCCTTCCTTTCCAGAACGCTTCATGCGGCGGAACTCAACTACGATACACACGACAAAGAGCTACTGGCCATCTTCGAGGCCTTTAAAGCTTGGCGTCATTATCTGGAAGGTTCGGGTGATCCGGTGGACGTCGTCACCGATCACAAGAATCTTGAGTATTTCTCTACTACCAAGGTTCTCACACGCCGACAGGTCCGATGGTCAGAATTTTTACATCAATTTAATATGGTCATTCGCTTCCGACCGGGGAAACTCGGCGAGAAACCTGATTCGATAACTAGACGCTGGGACGTCTACCCTAAAGAGGGGGATATCGGCTACGCCCAAGTGAACCCTCATAACTTTCGCCCTATCTTTACTAACGAACAACTCACTGCGTCCCTT